ACACTTGTTCAAACTCCAGTTCACACTTGTTTAAACTCCAGGAAGAGCTATAGTTGCAAACCTGTCTGTGTTCCATTGTTGTCCTCGGCTAGTAGAGTATTGTTTGTTGCTCTTGCTTCATCAGATATAAAGTAGTTTTTTTTTTCGTTTGTTTCGATTCCCTTTCGATCCTGTTGAACAGTAGATCTGAACGAGTTCAAGAAAATTCGGTAAAGTTTATTTACTCACTGGTCTCTGCTTTCCAAGTGCATGGTAAAAAAATGAATTAATTTTGGGATAAGGGACAATGTTCTTCATTTTTGCAGTTTAGCCAGAGTGCAAACTCGTCCAGAAATGAATTGTTAACTAACACACGTGTTCTGCAGACTTTGAAAAATTGTTACTGTAGAAAAGCCTTCAACTTCTCAAGTTGGTCCTCTCAGTCTAGTGGCCTAGAGAGAGAAAAAGAAAGAACACGACTTTATTAGTGCCATCACCACAAAATAGAGTGTGCTATTTAAAAGGTTAGTGCAAAAGAAAGAAAGTTGTTTTAGGCCTGAGTTAGAGTTTGGACCATACAAGAGCCCACAAGCGTTCGACGTCTTTTCTACTCTCGTTTCCAGAGCTCCTCTTAGATCTGACAATCTTATCGCTGACTATATAGGAAACAATTTCCTTTTCTCACTACTCACACTATACTTTCTACAACCAAGGAGTGTGAGCCGCTTTTCACCGTGCCTTGTGAAGAAGTGTATAAACAGCTGGTTCGCTAAGCCGGAATCTGCCGGTACCAGGAACAACTTTTGTCCACAAACAATGAAAACAGGCACTTATACTGATACAGTTACAAATACACAGAATTCAACACAGTTGCATCTATATTCAGAGCTTAACACATAGTACCTCAGTTACTGGCTGGGTAAAAATACTATTAACATTATTCTGCTAGTGCAATCAATATTGACTCATTTTTTTTTTACAATACCGATACAGTTTTGAAATTACTTTTTACCAGAATATACACGTATACTGTAGAAAAACTCATACACAACAGAGCATCGTCTTCATTGTCTTGCATTTAAAAAACCGTATTGTAACCAACCAGGACAATTTTTCTGTCGCGACTAAAGCGAAAGGATACGGGATGATAATTTTAGTAAGGGAGCAAAATCTCTCTTTCACTAATATACGTTGACAAGTCATCTTGGTACCTGTTGGGCATTTTTGACGCAGCTTTGAAAAATGATTGTATCAGATTGATTTCATTCTTGGACAAAATGCACCAATAAATTCTCTTTGATGACATTTCCTTGGACTTGGAATCCTCAAAAGCGACATTCGCACGACACAAACAATCTCGCCGTGCTAAGCTAGCAAGATTAAGGTGCACATGAGAGCAGAAAACGCGAGAAGATTTTCCTAGCCAATGAATATGATTACGCACCCGTAACTCAGTAGAGAGAGTAAAAACTCAAATATCAAGAGCTTTACTCACTTTTACATCTGCACGATATTACTTGACTTGATAACTCCATTGGCAATGCTTAAATCCCGTATTTGAACAACCTGAACAGGCTGGCTGTCCTCACAAATGACGTCTCCCATATTATAAGCCGGCACAGCCGGCATGGCTGAAGCATAGGGTACATATTGCTTTTTGTCTTTTTGTT